TGGTTAGAGCTTCCTTTTCGGTTTCTTGATCACAATTTTAAAGTGATAAACTGGTAAATGTTGTTAACTTTCGGTAAAAAAAAATGTTGTTAACTTGATAATGGATGATGTACAAATATTAATTAATACAGTACAAGTATTTAATTACTTCGTATGACTTTCATTCACATGCGTGGAATTGGCTATAGAGCATCAATCAAATGAATTAATCAATTGAAGTTTCTTCCTTCAAAAAATTAAAAAAAAATGACGTGGTTTTTTCTCTGTATTCAGTTCATTACTTTGAGTAAAGTATGAGCTCACTATCTCCATTGATCATCCTAATTCAGTAATTCTTAAACAGCTGCCAATCAATTTGCTCTAAAAATCCCACCTTTTGAAAATTTTCTCTTCAGGTATTCTAACTTCTTAATTGCTAATTTAAATGTTGTTTTTTTTCATCAGAAATCTCATTATTTAATCTTTTTCCTTTTGCCATTTTTTTGTATTCATGAATCATGATCATGGAATTGTTGGCTAGCTACTTCTATATTCAACTTCAATTTTATGATACTTGGATTGACTTCTATATTTTGATTTTTGAGGATTTAATTTCTTGAATTTAATTTGATTTTTTTTTTTGAATTAGCAACTTGATTGTCAATTGGAAATGTTGGAACACATATTTTCTCTTGTAAATTTAGAGATAGTAGTATAATTTAAAAAAAATTTGAGGGTAATTTTGAATACCCATCAGTTTCTTAGGTCCTAGAAGAGATGTAAAATCTGTAAGATCAAGCTATGTGCATGCTTCAATCAGACAATCAGCAGAACTGTTCTAATTCTTCGTGATTTATTGGTATTAAATACAGGCTAATTCATTAGTTTACAAAAGAAATATTAATGGTTAATAACTGATTTACTGTATTATTGAATAACCATCATTAGAGTATATAAGCTGATGAATTCGAGCTGGTAGGATCTATATTGAGCGTGTTCTTATAGATGAAACTGAGCTGGTAGGATCTATATTGAGCGTGTTCTTATAGATGAAACCGAGCTGGTAGGATCTATCTTGAGTGTGTTCTTATAGATAAAACCGAGCTGGTAGGATCTATCTTGATTGTGTTCTTATAGATGAAACCGAGCTGGTAGGATCTATCTTGATTGTGTTCTTTTAAGTCAATGTAAAGGTTCCTAAGTTTTCTTGATTGTGCTCTTTTAAGTTGATGTAAAGGTTCTCAAGTTTTCTTGATTGTGTTCTTTTAAGTTGATGTAAAGGTTCTAAATTAAAGTTTTCTTGATTGTGTTCTTTTTAAGTCTTGTTGTAAAGATTCCAAAGTTTTCGTTCTGTTTGTGAGGTATGAATTCCGGTTTATAATTGAATGATTATATGCCAATGTTACTTCATCGTATTTATTCACATTCGAAGAATCTGAATAACAGTTGGAATAGACTTAAGCTTGAGAGTATCCACAAGTTGATTGCATTCTGATAAAGGGCACAAATATAGGCCTTTTGCCTATTTTTTTTTTTCCTTCCATCATTGATGAAATTACTAATTCTGGTTTGAAGCTTACCTTCGAGTAGGATGTGCATTCTTCGTCTTGGTTACAATGGTTGATTTTTTATAGCAATAGATATTGGTGTGGTACATGTTTATGATCATATGATTCATATCATGTACTTCTTGTTGATATTGGATGTTTCTGGTTGAATGAAAACTCCACAAGCTGAGCAGCTTGTATATCTGACTAATGAAGTATATATGTTTTATGATGCAGTTCGATGGAGGATCCGATTGATGAGTTAGCGAATGCCAACAAGAGGAAGTGTGAAACACTACCCCCACTGTCCTCAAAATGCTGTATCTACAGAATTCCAAGAAACCTCCGAAACATAAATGAAAACTCCTACACTCCTTCCCTAATCTCCATTGGCCCCTTCCATCGTGGCAATCCAAAATTGCATGGGATGGAGGAGCAAAAATTGAGATATTTACGAAAATTCATTCAACGTAATGATAATAGAGACTTGGAGGATTATCTGACTGCATCAATGAAATGGGAGAAGGAAGCACGAGATAGTTATTTGGGAATCATCAGTCTCAGTAGTGTAGAGTTTATAGAAATGCTAGTGCTTGATGGCTGTTTCATTATTGAGTTTTTCTTGACATGGTTAGGGTGTACGATTGATCCCAATGACCGTATCTTTCACAGGCCAGCTCTGAGCCAAGCAGTTTTACGCGATCTTAAACTGCTTGAGAATCAAGTTCCCTTTTTCATTCTTGAAATTTTATACAACATTGCTTTTGAAGATGACAAAAAAGCTCCTAGCTTCTTGAAGGTCACTTGTGAATGTATGATAGGCCTTGGCAAGGTCCCTCAATATTTCAAGAAGACGAAGATATTGCATTTGGTTGATTTCCTGAGAACTTACTACCTACCACCAGAAAGGAAAGAAATTTGCCACAAGGATGAAAATTGGGAATTTCCTGATGGAATTTCTGAGCTCTACGAGTCTGGTGTGACATAACTGGTAGATAAAGATGACAAGTTCCTCAATATCAAATTCGAAAATGGAGTCCTTTATATACCTGAGCTAATGCTGGAAAATCACACGGAATCTCAACTCAGAAACTTGGTCGCCTTTGAACAATGTCATTACCCTCAGGAGTCGTTTTTGATCGATTATGTATTGTTTTTGGATAGTCTCATCTATGACAGGAAAGATGTGGAAGTCTTGGTCAATCATGGGATTATACTGAACTTTCCTGGTAGCAGTGAAGATGTTTACAGACTCTTCAGCAATATCTCCAAGGGAACGACTTATTCACGTAGAACCTTTTATTATGCTGATGTATGTAGGCGCCTCAACGAGTACAGTGGGACACCTTGGAACCGGTGGAAGGCAATACTCCGTCAAGATTACTTCAGTAATCCATGGTCCATGATTTCAACAATCGTAGCTGTAGTTTTGCTTATACTTACTGTCATACAGACTTACTGTGATATTATTCAACTCCAATACTGAATATCCCAATTTTACTGAACATTCTTTTGTGGTTGCAGAGGAAATGATGGTTATTTTAGAAACCAATTGTGTTGTTGCTGCACAAAAGTTTCTAGAAATTGCATTTGTATGTAGCAATCTGTATCAGTTTTACTGTCATCTATTAATTTTGAAGTTCACGAGGCCAATTGTTGTTGCCTCTTTCAAATTTGATTAAGCGCCTTTACTTATAAGATCTTATGGCCTATATAGGTTAAGTACATTAATTTCCACTCGATGGGAATCTACACAATACTTCATACACCTTACCTCAAAGAGCCATTGGTGAGCTTGGCACTTGTGAACTCGAGTTCAGGAGCTCACCACCTCTTTGAGTTGCTAATTTAGGCCAGAGTGATCTACTGTACTTTATTTCATTCCAATTTTCTGTTTGCTCACTTTTTATTACAGGTATTGTTTCGTTTAGCAATTAGACAATAACAATTTTTGCATTCTCTGATTCAAGTATATAGGGTTTATCAGCATTCCTCCTAATACTTCAAACTGGGACAATAATCTAGTATGCCAACAAGAATAATAAATTACAGTCAATACTTTTCATAATTGTGACTGATTATAATAAATATATATAGGGTTTATCAACATTCCTCCTTATACTTCAAACTGGGACAATAATCTCAACTCACATGTAAGCAACAGTGGGTTATATAACAAATTGCGAGATACTGTACAAAATCTTACTACTCCGTAATCAAAGTTGCAATATCTATTACTCCGGAATCTCGACTTTTGGCCGGAATTTGTCATTAAGGTGTTATTTTTAAAACAAAATTTAATTGAAGGTATTAGTAAGGTATGAGAAAATACAAGTTTATCACCTTGATAAACATCTTGATAAACAAAATATGTTTATCTAATAACAAAACCGTAAATGAATACCAACTTTTTATTAAAAATGACCCCACAATAGTTGATTTATTTAAAATTATGCTATGACTAAAAATGAACCCCATAATACTTTATTTATTTACAAATATGTTGATGACTAGACAAAATTGTTGATTTATTTACAGTTTTGCCATTTGATAAATAAGGAGATAAAATGAGGTTTCCTTCTAGGGTATTAGATTACTCCATCCGTCTCTAAATTACATTCCTCCTTTCTATTTTGGGTATTCTAAAATTATATTCTACCTTTCTATTTTTTAGTAATTTTTTTTTAAATATCCCAAATACACTATTTTTTTTCAGTTGTACTTTTTTAATGTATAATTAGGGGCCATTTGGTTCGCATAGGGTAATCGGAATGGAATGAATATACCCAAATTTTTCTATGTTTGTTTTAAAAACAAAGGGAAATACTATCACCAATCCCACCACCACACCACCACCACACAACCACCTAATTTCTTCACTACCCACCTTCTCCAGCCACCACCCATCCCCCCACCACTGTCCGCACATGCCCAGCCATTCGCCGCCCATCGCCGCTGTTCCCTTTCCCCTCGCCGGCGCTCTCCGCCCTTGGACAGCTCTCCCCTCCCCCGTAGAAACCTTCCCCAGCCCCGCAAAAACCCCAGAAACTATTCCCTCTCCCCGTATAACCGTCCCCCAACTCTCTGGTGGTCGACGGCTTTTACAGCGAGGAGCAGATTGAATTTTTTAGGGTTTTCGAGGTAGGGTTAGGTTTTCGAGGGGGAAGGGAAGGGTTTTGGGTGGCGAGAGGAAGGTTAGTGGATGGTCGACGAGAGGGTTGTTGGCGGCGAAGAAGGGCGACGAAGGGTAGTTGGGTGGTGGCTGGGCGGTGGGATGGTCGGGTGGTGGCTGGAAAGTGAAGGAAATGTGCGGTGGGGGAAGGTAATTAGGGGAGGGGTGGTCGGGGAGAGAGCGGCGGTTGTCGGGGAAAGGGAGGCGGTGGTCGGGGAAGGGGCAAAGATGGCGGTGGAGGTGTGACTGGTGGCAGTGGGTGGTGGGGGAGGTGTGACTGGTGGCAGTGGGTGGTGAAGGGGTGGATAAGGAAAGGGAATGGAAAAGTCTAGGGGGGTGGGGGATGAAGTTGGAAGGATTTGGGGTAATGGAGGGGGTAAAGGGAATGAAAGAAAGTGCTTAACAAACAACAAAGGGAATCGGGACAGTTGATTCCCATTCCCTTTGTTGAATATCCCCAACCAAACGACCCCTTAATGTATTTTTATTCCACGTTTGGTTGACTAATGTACTTTTTCAGCCTTCAATTTTTTAGAATCTTTGTGCCAAAGTACAATGAATAATTCCTATCTTTTATTTAAGTACATTAAAAGTACAACTGTCAATTTTTTTTTTTTTTTTTGGGTAATTACAAATAATCTTATTTACGTACGTTTTTCCATTTTAAAACATTAGTTTGGTTAACCACTTAAGGTAGTTCCCTCCCAAATCCCAATCAATCAATTAACCAACAAATCTTGGTCTCTCTTTGCTTTGACTATGAGTTTGCTTGTTGACTATCAGTCGCCATTTTTCTGGGTTTTCTAAGCTGCTGCTCATCAATTTCTTTTCAACTTCCATCTTTTGTCTTTCCAAAACCAGGTAATCTCAATTTTCATTATTAATCACATTTCCCAATTTCTAATCTAGTTTTGTCATCATAAATTGCCATTTTTTAACTTTAATTTTGATTGTATTTTAGTGATTTGTTTCTGATCTTGTACTTTGGTTGCCGTTGTCATCATTTGATTGTTTTTGAGAAATTACTGGAATTTAATTTGGTTCTGTTGAAAACCCTAATTGCTTCACTCAGAAAATTAAAAGGGGTGATTCATTAATTTTAAAGTTGCTAGTAAATTGTATTAATGCGAATCCTAGTTTTGTGCTATAATAAAAGGAATTATGCTGTTTTCTGTGATTCTGATGTTGGAAAATCAAATATTTGTGTCATATCTATGTTTTTACTATTTGGGGTTGTGATAAATCATGATTTTTTTTTTTTTTAAAGATAAATCATGATTATTGATTATCCTAATATCCTGCTTAGATTTCCTTGTTGATTGAACAAGCTGAACCACATCAGATTATGTTTTTTTTTTACCCTATGGTATCGTGTCGAAAATATAGCAGAAAGTTGCATTAGTAACTCACGATTGCTGTAGAAATTGGAATGTAGGAGGGACGAATAGGAGGAGAAACGAAGTGAGAAGTAAAGAAACTATGGACTATGCCTTAATTGACGATTAGGATCAGTCAAGACATGTTTAGATCGAGCAGAAGTAGAGAAACTCTCTTTTTTCAGTTAAATTAGAAATGCTGAGCTTTGTGCCTTTCCTTTCTAATCGCTGTGCAAAATTCTGATTTATAATTTGTTCCCATTCTTAAGGAATTTGAAGTCGAAGTAGAGCTTGTGGACCCATCATGAAGTTGGTCTTTTACATTTTACCTTGAAGCTTCCGAGATTTCCTTCTGTTTGCAACTTTGCAAGGTATGGTGATGCCTGTTTCTAATTGAGCTAAGCCTATTTTAATTTATTGGAGTAAGTCAAATCTAGGCTTCAAATTACAGTAGGAAATAGCTTGAGCCTCTGCAATTTGCTTTCTGATAAAGGGGAAAAAAGAGGCCTTTTTTAATTTCCAGCCATAGCTAGTAAAAACACTGATACTGGTTTGAAAATTGTCTTAGACTAGGATGAGCACTCTTTGTCTTGGCTACAATGGTGCAGCACTACCGCCATTGATAGCAATAAATACTGATGTAATTGATCTGAGACTTTTTTCTGATCACATCAGCTTATATATCTTGTTAGTTTTGGTTGAACAACTTGTATGTTTGACTGATGTTTCACCTATTATATGATGCAGTTCAATGGAGGACCCTATTGATGAGTTGGCGACTAACATTAAAAAGAAGTGTGAAACACTTTCCCCTCTTTCTTCAAAATGCTGTATCTATAGAATCCCCACAAATCTTCGGAAAGTTAATGAAAACTCATACACTCCTTCCCTGATCTCTATTGGCCCTTTCCATCGTGGCAATCAGAAATATCAAGCCATGGAGGAGCACAAATTGAGATATCTACAGAGGTTTATTCAACGAAATAGTAACAGGGACTTGGAAGATTACCTAACTGCGGCAATGAAATGGGAGAAGGAAGCTCGAAATAGTTACTTGGCAACCATCAATCTCTCCAGCTTAGAATTTACAGAAATGCTAGTGCTTGATGGCTGCTTCATTATTGAGTTCTTCTTAACTTGGCATGGAAGCACTATTGATCCCAACGACCGTATCTTTCACAGGCCAGCTCTGAGCCAAGCAGTTTTACGCGATCTTAAACTGCTTGAGAACCAAGTTCCCTTTTTCATTCTTGAAGTTTTATACAACATTGCTTTTGAAGATGACATAAAAGCTCCTAGCTTCTTGAAGGTCACTTGTGAATGTATGATAGGCCTTGGCAAGGTCCCTCAGCATTTCAAGAAGACGAAGATATTGCATTTGGTTGATTTCCTGAGAACTTACTACCTACCACCAGAGAGGAAAGAGATCTGCCATGCGGATGAATATTGGGAATTCCCTGATGGGATTTCCGAACTCTATGAATCAGGTGTGACATTAAAGGTTGATAAAGATGATAAGTTTCTCAATATCAAATTTGAAAATGGTGTCCTTTATATACCCGAGTTAATGCTGGAAAATCATACGGAATCTCAACTCAGAAACTTGGTTGCCTTTGAACAATGTCATTATCCCCGGGAGTCCTTTGTGGTTGATTATGTTCTTTTTTTAGACAGCCTCATCTATGACAGGAAAGATGTAGAAGTCTTGGTCAATCATGGGATTATACTGAATTCCCCTGGAAGCAGCGAGGATGTTTACAGAATGTTCAGCAATATCTCCAAAGGAACGACATACTCACGTGTAACCTTCTATTATGCTGATATATGTAGGTCTCTCAACGAGTATTGTGGGACTCCTTGGAACCGCTGGAAGGCAATACTTCGCCAAGATTACTTCAACAATCCATGGTCCATGATTTCTACAATCGCTGCTGTAGTTTTGCTTATTCTTACTGTCATACAGACTTACTGCGATATTGTTCAACTTCAGTACTGAATATCTCAGGTTTCCTGACCATTCTCTTGGGCTTGCAGAGAAAATGTGGGTGAGTTTCAGAAACTTTTCGGGTCCCTATGACTCTACAGAGTATCATAAATCTATCTTTACAAATATTTGTCTGATGTATTGCTGTTTGTAGCAATTTGTATCAATTTCAGTATTTCACTGTCATATACAGTATATACCATATTACTGATGTATTGCAGACAATTCAATCAAATTTGATTCAGCACCTGTATTATAGAAATTTTGGTATCATCAATGTCCTCTCACTAGACACTGTATAACCTGTGCCACCGTTCCATTATTACCACCAATGAACTTGGAAATCGAGAACTCATGTTCAAGCAGAACTAACCACCCTGACCAAGTCCTCTCCTTTGATTTGATTATGGGACTCAATCCAGAGAGTTAGATGATTCCATTTCAACTTGGTAGAGTTATTGGTCCTTTTTTCTTGGTAGAATTATACAATTTGTTTGGTGCTTTTGGCTACTAATTACTCATTTGAGCAATAAACAAAATAGGATAATTAGTGTTAATGTTTGAGATCCTCTGTAAGATTGTAATAGAGTTTGAGACATTACAAGTTGTCTAGTTCCACAAAGAATTGCAAAGTCACCTATAAAATAGAAAATCAATAGACAGCTTCGTATTATACCTCATCAGAAGTTCATAAAGATGAAGCCTATAATCTATCAATTTCACAAAAATAAAAACAGGAAAATCCAACAATTTGATTTGTTTCAGAACTCGTGATAAATGGGTTTGGGCCACACTAGGCGGCCACTATAGATGGACACAACTTTCTTATTTTTTCAATATGAGATATGTTTTTAATACTTTTACATTTTTCAATACGAGACAACACTTTCACTCACATGTGGGTTTGTTCATAGGCTCAACACAACATGTACGGAGTATTGTTCTCATATAAATATATTTGTCTTTAAACCGTGTCACATAAAATTTGTGTGTAAAATGGTTAGGAAAAATAAAAACATTAAGAAACCGTCCTCAAGGAGTCAAGGGAGGGCACGTCATTTGGTATATCCGTATATGTAAAAGAACATGTCATTGTTTTTATAAAGGATAAAAAGAATTGTTAAGTCAAACTCCATTGGATTCCATTGGAATAATATCTTTTTTGACCTTCTTTTGTAGAGCTTTTTGAGTCAAGTGAGATCATTACAATAGAATGGAAGGAATACGTGTTATAGAGTAAACTGTTACTTCTTGACGTTTTTTTTTTTTTTTTCGAAAATTGGCAAGGAGATAAAAGATGGTACATAAAGTTGTAATATGACATATTTTAACTACCAAACAATAGTAATTTGATTCTGATTTTTAAAAAATGAGTTAATTATTTATTATAATAATGATTAGAGAAGAAAATTAATTAAGGGGTGATGTGTACTTTTTTAATTCTCCAAATTAATATGTTGTTGTTAATTGAGTGCATGTGAACTTACAGAAAGAGACATAGATGGAAGGCATCTTGTTATTTATACTCCGTATAAAATTTACTTCATTTGACGAAAAATTATTTCTAGTAATTTTTTTCCCTAGCAGAACAAGCAAATATTTGGAGTTTAGGAATAAAAAGAGAGAAAAAAAAAACATAAAATAAATATCATATATTGTATTAATTTATCTAATTTAATTGAAAGCTCACAAAGAATGGATAAATGACGCTAATGATCAAGAGGAACTAGTGCCAAATTACTTACCTATATGGTCTATAATAAATGCTTCCGACCTCCATCTATCCAAAATTCTTTGCCACACTTATAAATGTCATTTCAACTAAAATACGTGACAACTAATTTCAGATAGAGATAGTAGCCGAACATCTTCTACTACTAAAGTACTCCATATCATGATACAGTAACGTAAAAATTAAAGATAAGAATTAGAGGGAGCACAAGCAATACAAGCAAGAAAGAAGATGGCAGAAGAAGCACCATCTTCTTCAAGATTAGAACTACTTCTCTTAAACTTCTTAACTTTGCTTTTGTTGCATTGCATTATTTGCATTACTTGATCTCTTTGTTGTTGTTGTTGCCTTCCTTTAATGGCTTCTTCTACTCTTGACACCATTTTTTGTTTATGATTTGGGATGTTTAAGCTTAAAGGATGTACGTACTATTTTTTGTATGATGAGAGTTGCTTACAAATTTGAATGAACTTAGCTTAGCTTCTTCTCACTTATATAGCCAACCAAGTTGAGTGGGGTGGCTTTTGTGTTATAAATAATTGTGTGTCTATATGCCAACAATTGGTGGGGTTGTATTGAGAATTTATAAGGGCAACGTGCCAATCCCTTCTTTTTTGTCTTATAAAGGGTTTTGATAATATTTTAATATAATCTATATTTTTTAATAGTTTGGGGTATAAGCAAGTTGAGAATTTATAACAGATCGATACACATATTATAATAAGTGAAACGCTAAACACCGCCCGCAATTTACCATATAAAGCCCACAAATATGATATGATTTGACCATTATGTCCTTTTTCTAAAATTGAAATAATCTCGGTGTAAAAAATGTGGAGCCGTACTGGCTCGCCGGGGATGACCGGATGGCAGGCCGGAGATGCGGGGGACGCCGGAGGTACGTCGTCGTCGACGGAAAACGAGGTAAGTCACCGTTAAAATTCACGGTTTACCGTCGGAGTGGCTCCGGCGCCTAGGGTGGACGCCCAAACCGTAGCCTGGACGTCCAAGCCGGACGCCGGAACCACCAGAGTGGCGTCCAGCCCAGACGCCCAGACCACCAGACTGGCGTCCTGGGCAGACGCCACTCCACTGGGTGAGGCTGCCCTGCCAGGCGCCAGTCCAGTGGCTGTGGCAGCCCTGGCAGACGCCACCTTTAATAATTAATTTTTTTTTTCTTTTTTGATTTTGTTGTTGTTTTTTATTTAATTTTTTTGTAAAAAAAAAATCGAAAATGATTTTTTAAAAAAATTCGAAATGGGTTTTTTGTAAATTGATGCAGGAATATGGTGGAGACGGAAATGATTACAGTGGGATATTTGGACATGATGGTCCATTCGAAGAAGCTCAACAAGCGATTGATTGGGCAAAACAGGTTGCAATTGCAGCTGGATTTTGCTTGGTAGTAGCAACTCATAAATCTCAACGGGATGGTAGAATGGATCGCATTTTGAGATGTGACCGTTATCGCAAAAGAGAAGAAAGAGATTTTCGTACAGCCACTCGGTTTGACACAAAGCGGAAAGGTTGTGGGTGTGAGTTCAGAGTAAAGGTTCGACAACTACGGAGTCGTGACGGTTGGGAAGTGATAGGTTACTCTAAATGGGGGTATCACAACCATGAGATGATAGTATATGAAGAGGGTCATCGACAACTGAGCGGCTTAAGTCCTGCTGCGAAACTAGTTGTGAAAGAAATGAGTGATGCTCAAGTGAAGCCTGCTAAAATATTAGCATCTGTGTTAGAGAAATTTCCAGAAGACCATCCAAACCGAAGACACATCTACAACGTCAGACAGCAACTCAGGTTTGAACGGTCAGAGGGAAGGAACCCTATACAGCAGCTGCTACACCAGGCACAATCACGTGGTTACCTGTTCTGGTTTGATTCTGATGAAGATACAGCGGAGGTGACTCATCTTTTCCTTGTGCATCCTGATTGTGCTGATATGATCAAGTCTTGGCCATTTGTGATTTTGATCGACTCAACGTACAAGACAAACAAGTACAAGTTCCCTCTGGTTGAGATGGTTGGGATGGCTCCAACGAACCAGAACTTTCTAATTGGTCATGCAATCATCAGGGATGAGACGGCTCCAAGTTATTATTGGGTGTTGGAGAAGCTGAGAAACTACATCGGGCCTAATGTTCATCCAGCAGCCATCGTCAACGACTGTGAGGGAGGTCTCTTTGCCCCCATAGCAGAGCTGTTTCCCGAATCGAACCACTTATTGTGCACATGGCACATCAACAACTGCGTGAAAGTGAAAGCCTACAACCTTTTCAAGAAGAATTTGGAAATGGCAGAGAGATTGGTGAATGGTAAGTGGCGGAAGATCCTACAGGCTACCACAGAGGAAGCGTATGAGCGAGCATTGGCTAACTTCAGGGATTCGTACCAGTGGTGTCCGGCACTGGTGGACTATGTGATGCATCAATGGGTCCCTCATAGGGAAAAGTTTGTCAAATATTGGACAAACCAGGTACTTCATTTTGGGAACACTACAACATGTAGAGTTGAGAGCGCTCATAGAGCTACCAAGGACTGGATTGATTCATCGACCGCTGCTTTGGATACACTGTTCGCTAGACTGAATAAGTCAATTGAAACTCAGAAGAACGACATCAGGAACTCTCTAGAGGACTCCAGACGACGACATGGTACGATGTATAACCATTTTATATTTAAGATTCTCCAAGGTCGTGTGTCGCACTACTGCTTGGGGTTGATTCTCACTGAGTTGAACAGGGTGAGGGACTTGGCTGACGAAGTGTATACTCGGTGTGGGTGTACTATTTCAGTAACTCATGGATTACCTTGCGCATGCACCATTCACCGCGTTATTACAGAATAAAGGGCGTCGTTACATGTTGATCAGGTCCATTCATTCTGGAGGACGCTTGTTATTGGTGAGCATGCAGACAATCAAACGGCCGACCGTGAACAGGAGGAGTTGGAGCAGTTCCGTTCGATGTACGACCGAGTGTCCTCCAGCCATCCTTCTATTATTCGTGACGCTACTCATGTACTTCATGACATGTTCCACCCGTCTAACTTAGATTATGAGGAACCCGAAGGAGTTGACCGTCCTCGAGGTCGACAACGGCGGAACAGGAGTGCGTTTGAGTATATCCGTGGTCTTGGTCGTGGTCGTTCTCGTGGTCGGACATCGTCATCTAGTCGTAGTCAATCTTCATCGTCTGTGAATATGCCCCTGAGAACTGGTACGTTTTGGTTGTTTTTATAGCACATAGTTTTAAAGTGTTACTCCTGCCTTCTTAACTGTCTATAATTAATTATATGGTGAATAGGAAGAAACGATGTTGATCAGTTTCCGTACAAGGAAAGGATACCTGCGATCATCATGTCGTACTTGGAAGGGTGGAATGATGTAATCGGAGATGGTAACTGCGGATTCCGGGTCGTGGCTGATGTTTTTCAAATGGGCGAAGACAACTACGGTTTGGTGCGTGAGTTGATGTACAACGAAATTGCCTCTAACCGAAATGTTTATCGTCATGTGTACCAGGATGACTTGGATGGCG